GGATCTTCATGGACTGTCAGAACGTAATCAATGGCATCCTCGAGGGCCCCAGCAGGCTCGACAATAAGTGAAGAGATTTGAATACGAAAAGGGGGGCCCAAGCTTCAAGCTACCCCCCCCCACCTTGCAAAAGGGGGGGGGCTTCCGAAGCTACCCTCCCCCCTCCATTTCGTAAGGCTTTCTAAGCTAGGGGGGCTCTGGCTCAAGGGGGGGGGGCTTCGAAGCTCCCCCCCCCTCCCCCCTTTTTTGGAGCAGAAGGTGAGCCCGGGCTTACCTTTCAAAGGAGGGGTGGTTTCGGAAGCTACCTCCCCCCCTCCTTCCTTTCTCGGTTTGGACACCAGGGGGGGAGCGGCTTCAAGCTCCCCCTCCCCCCTGTGCAAAGGGGGGGGGCTTGCGAAGCTACCTCCCCCTCCCCTCCCTTCCGGGGATCTGGCACAATGGCGGAATCCCTGACGACAGGTGCGCACCGCAGCGTTAGAGAACGAATTGGAGAATAACGTCGACCCCTGGTTCGTTGTCTTGTTTTGTTGTTTTCTCTGCGCTTGGTTCGTGGTTTCGTTTTCTCGGGCCCTGCTTCGTTTTCTTGTGTTCTCGTTGTTTTGTTTTTCTTGTGTGCTAATGTTTTCGGCTCCTGGGTCGCGGTCTCGTGTTCTCTGATCCTGGTTCGCGTTCTAGTTTTCTAGTTTTCTCGGCGCCTGGGTCGTGGTCCAGTTTTCACGGACCCTGCTTCGTTTTCTCGTTTTCTCGGCCCCTGGGTCGTGGTTATGTTTTCTCAGACGCTGGTTTGTATCTTCGTGTTCTCGTTCTCGGCCCCCGGGTGGTAGTCGTGTATTCTCTGACCCTGCTTCGTTTTCTCGTTTCTTCATTTTATCGGCTCCTGGGTCGTGGTCTCGCTTTGTTCGAACCAAGCGTTTTCTGGTGATCTTGGCCCCTGGGTCGTGGTTTCCTCGGACCCTGGTCGTGTTCTCTTTTTCTCGTTTTCTCGGCCCCTGGGTCGTGGGTCGTTTTCGCGTTTTCGCATTTCCTCGGCTCCTGGGTCGTGGTCTCGTTTTCTCGGGGCCTGGTTCGTTTTCTTGTTTTTTTGATTTCTAGGCCCCTGGGTCGTAGTTTCGTCGTCTCTGTTCCGGCTCGTTGTTTCGTTTCTTGTTTTCTCGGCCCCTGGTTCGTAGTCTCGTTTTCTCTGGCCCTGATTCCTTTTATCGTTTTCTCGTTTTCTCGGCCCTTGGGACGTGATCGTGTTTTCTCGGACCCTGGTTAGTTCTCGCGTTTTCTGTGCTCTTGGGTCGTGGTCTCGTTTGTTCGGACTTTGGTTTGGTTTGTCGTGTTCTCGTGTTCTCGGCCCCTGGGTCGTGGTCTCGTTTTCTCGGACCCTGGTTCGTTGTTGTGTTGTCTCGTTTCTCGGCTTTTGTTTTTTGGTGTTGTTGTTTCGGGCCCTTGTTCGTGATCTCATGTTTCTGTTTTCTCGGCCCCTGGGTCGTGGTGTCAATTTTCCTCGGACACGTGTTGATTTTCTCGTTTTCTCGTGTTCTCGGCCCCTGGGTCGTGGTCTCGTTTTGTCTGACGCTGGTTCGTTATTTGTTTTCTCGGCCCCTGATTTGTGGTCTCCTTTTCTGACCCTGGTTCGGTTTCTCGTGTTCTCCGTATCTCGGCCCCTGGATTGTGGTTTTATTTTCTCTGACCCTGGCTTGTTTTCTTGCTTCTCGGTTTCTTGGCCCCTGGGTTTTCTCTGTTCCTGGGTCGTGGTCTCGTTTTCTCGGGCCCCCGGTTTGTTTTCTTGTATTCTATGTGTCTCGGCCCTTGGGTTGTTGTCTCGTTTTGTCGGCCCCTGGTCCGTTGTGTTGTTATCTTGTTTTGTCGGCCCCTGGGTCGTAGTCTCGTTTTCTCTGACCCTGATTCGTTGTCTTGTTTTCTTGTTTTATCGTCCCCTGGGTCGTGGTCTTGTTTTCTCTGGCCCTCGATCGTTTTCTCGTTTTCTTGCTTTCTCGGCCCCTGGCTCGGACCCGGGTTTGTTTCTCGTGTTCGCATTATGTCTGCCCCATGGTCTTGGTCCCGTTTTCTCGGGCCCCGTTTCGTTGTCTCGTTTTCTTGTTTTCTCGACTCCTGGGTCGTGGTCTTCTTTTGTTTTGACCCTGGTTAGTTTTCTCGCTTTCTCGGCCCCTTGGTCGTGGTTTGGTTTTCTCAGGCCATGGTTCGGTTTCTTGTTTTCTCGTGTTCTAGGCCCCTGGGTCGTGGTGTCGTGTTTTCTGCCCCTGGTTCGTTGTATCGTTTTCTCTGCCCCTGGATCGTGGTTTCGTGTTCTCGTTTCTTGTTTTCTTGGCGCCTGGGTCGTGGTCCAGTTTTCTCGGACCCTGGTTCGTTTTCTCGTTGTCTCGTTCCCTCGGCCCCTGGGTCGCGGTTTCGTGTTCTTGGACGCTGGTTTGTTTTCTCGCTGCCTCGTTGTCTCGGCCCCTGGTTCGTAGTCTCGTTTTCTCGGGCCCTGTTTTCTTTTTCTTGTGTATCGGCCCCTGGACGTGGTCTCGTTTTCTAGGACCGATATTCGCGTTGTCTCGGCCTGGGTCGTGGTCTCGTTTGCTCGCACCTTGGTTTGTTGTAGTGTTTTCTCGTGTTCTCGGCCCCTGGGTCGTTATCGTGTTTTCTGGACCCTGGTTCATTGTCTCGTTTTCTAGTTTTCTTGGCTTCTTGGTTTTTGTGTTGTTTCTCGGGCCCTGCTTCGGTTTCTCGTTTTTTCGTTTTCTAGGCCCTGGGGTTGTGATCTCGCTTTCTCTGGCCCTGGTTCGTTTTCTCGTTGTCTCGTGTTCTCGGCCCCTGGGATGTGGTTTCGTTTTCTCGGGCACTGGCTCGTTTTCTCGTTGTCTCGTTTTGCCGGCCCCTGGGCCGTGGTCTCGTTGTATCGGACTCTGGTTCGTTGTCGCGTTTTCTCGTCACCTGGGTCGTGGTCGCGTTTTCTCGGACCCTGGTTCGTTGTTTGGGACCTTGGTTCGTTTGTTCGTTTTCTCGGCCCCTGGTTCGTGGTCTTGTGTTCTCGGACCCTGCTTCGTTTCCTCGTTTTCTCAGCCCCTGGGTCGTGGTCTTGTTTTCTCTGTCCCTGGGTCGATGCTGGACATCGGCCCATAGGCCTGCTGAGCACCTGGCCCCGCGCGCGGTCCAGGATCCGACGGCGTCGCGCTCTTGGCGTAGAGAGGCTTATACAGATAAGCACAAGCTCGTTCGGAACATCCTCGAACTCGGAGCGCATCTAGGTGTGTCAGGGAGCGACATCGTCGACACTGAGAAGGGCTCGAGTCCGCCGACGGATTCGACCCCCCCGACCCCGCCCTGGAGCTCCTGGACCCCCCTGGGCCTCCTGGGACGGCTGACGGTGCGGGCGAAGGGGCCGAGGCGGCACCTCCCGCACCCCTGAAGGCCACCCCGCCTCCGCGGGCCATCCTGGACTGGGGGACTGTCAGGGTCGACAAAAATATAGGAGCGGGGCACAAACTCGTGTTCCCCCAATCGTACGTGTTCTGTCGTAGGAGTGCCAAGTACGCCCGCGACAGATGGTCGGGCCTGCTATCCCCGTGTTGCCCTGGGGCCCAAAGGGTGATCGGGGGTAGGCTAAAGCGTCTCTGGCAGGGTACACATCCCACCACTGGAAAGCCCCTCTGAGGCTAGCCCTCAGAGGGCATGGCGTTCTGGCTCGGATCGGGGACGGCACGATGCGGCCAGGACGACCCGTGGCGCGATTCCATGGGGCATCGTGTTCGTTCGATCAGCAGAATCCAGCAGAACCCTCCTCCTCCCCCTCCTCCTCCTCGATTTCGTTTGACGCGGTCGGAGCTCGATGGGGCGAGCCGCAGCGCGACCCGAGGCCAAGGAGGGAGAGGCCGGCCCACCACCTGCAGGGAGGGCCGAGGAGGGGAGGCGACTGATAGGGCTCCTCCTCCTCCTCCTCCTCCTCCTCCTCGTCCTCCTCCCCTCAGATCCAAGCGTCGCGAAACGTCGTGGCTCATGTTTCTCCGTGTTCGGCTCACAGAGGCAGCTTCCTGGCGACAACACAGTCCAAAAACGGCTCGAGATGCGAAGGCGGCCCCAGGGAAAGGGTCGGGACTCCCTGGGCCCCATGTCACAGAGAAACTCCGACGTCGGAGGAGAGACTTCCCTGCATCCTCCTCCTCCTCTTCCTCCTCATTATCCGCCTTTCCCTCCTTCTCCACCTCTCCTCCTCCTCGTTCTCCTCCTCCGGCCCACTATACACGCCGGATAAAAAAAGAAGAGGTCCCAAAAGGGCCCCGTAGGACCGCCGCAGGAGCCCAAGGCAGCCACGAGACGGCCCAAGTAGTCCCAGTGAGAGACCCTGAAAAAATAAAGACGAGGTGACACATGTCTCGACTTTCTGTGCGGTGCTAGGAGGAGCGTCGTAACATTGAGTGCTGCGCTGGCACGGTGGCGGGAGCTGCCGCATGCTACTGGGTTTTACACTTTCAGGAGACATCATGCTTCTTCTCACCTCGCCCTCACCTCGTCTCCGGAACAAGTGAGCGAGAGAACGAAAGAGAGATATAGAGACACAGAAAAACAGAGAGAGAGAGAGAAACAGCGGGACACCAGCATGCGGAGCCCAAGCCGCAAAGGGGTGGAGGGCGCAGCGGCGAGGACAATCTCCTCCTCCGCCCTCACCCTCGCTTTGTGCTGCAGACGCGCTGGAGCCCACGTGTCATAGTCGCAACACCGGGAGCAGCACGATCGATCCTCCGCCTTCACTGCCGCAGGGAAGAGAAACACCGAATTCTCCTGACGGGGCCTTCCCGAGCCGTTTTCCGACAGTCCTGGGGCCCGTGGAGGGCCCCGAGAAACCAGCAACGGCGAACAAGCCTCGGGACCCGTTTCCCTCAGGACCCGTGTCCCTCATGGCGACTCCACAACACTCTCCACCTCGTCCTCCTCCTCCTCCTCCTCCTCCTCCTCCTCCTCCTCTGTCTCCCCTGCCTCTGGCAACCATGCCAGGGTGCTGAGGCGAGGGCGGGGCTGGATCGCCGTTGCCCTGCGCTCGTCCTCGAGAGTGGCGACCGGGCGGACAGGTCGCTCCTTGACCTCGACCACCGGGAAAGGCCGATGTCATCGTCGTCGTCGTCTTCGTCGTCGTCTCCGTCGTCGTCTACATCAGCGCCGAAGTCGTTATCGTTGTCGGCGCCGTCATGAACTTCAACGACGTCGTCGGCGGCGTCGCTGGCGGTGTCGTCGTCACCATCTTCGTCGTCGTCTTCAACGTCAGCGTCAACGTCGGTTTCGTTGTCGGCGGCGTCGTCGTTGTCGGGTGAGTTGGGGGCGTCATCAACCTCAGCGACGCCGTCGTCGGTGTCGTCGGCGGTATCGTAGTCACCATCTTCGTCGCCGTCATCGTCGTCAATGTCAACGTTACGCTCCACGTCGTTGTCGACGTCGTCGTCGCAAAAATCAACTTTGTCATCGTTGTCGGCGTCGTCGCCGTCAACGCTAACATTGTCGCATTATCGGCGGCGCTGGTCGCGTTGGTGTCGTCGTCATCGGAGAGAGATTGAGGGGCAGGAGGGTGAGGAAGAAGGCCTGGTCGAGGGCTGTGGGAGGGGGGGCGCTGAGTAGGTCTGATATGGGGCATGCCTGTGTGGTTGCACGGCGATTAGGAAAGGAAGGAGGGGGATATACTACTTTCTCGGGTTCTGGGTGGTTTTCGGGATCATCAAATGCGTTCGGCCTTCCTCCAAGATGGTCGCAGCTCCTCCGAAACCGAAGTCCTCCCCCTTCACTACTCCCCCTCCTACGTACGTCCTGCTCCTCCTTATTCCTTCCTCCGTCGTCTTCCCCTTCTTCCTCATTAGTTCCTCTTCCCAGGGGGAGCACTTGGAAAGAACGGCGGAGGAGGCGGGAAGAGAAGGAAAAGGGTGAAACGAGGAGGCAAGAAGCGGAGGAGGGGGGGAACGGATGAGAGAGTGAGGAGGAAGGAGGGAGGAATAACGAGGGGGCAGGAAGCGGAGGGAGGAAGGAGAAAAAGAGAGGGGGAGCGAGAGAGCGATACCGGCGCACATCTATACATATATATATATATATATACATATGGATAGAAAAAGGAGAGAGGGAGGGAGAGATTAACAAACAAAGACACAACGAGGCACGGATAAGAACCTTCTGTCATGGCTGGGGCGCGATACTCGGAGCAGGGGACCAGACGAGAAGACCCACGACGCGCGCCGAGGCGCACGCCTGGCCAGGCTGGCATGCAGCGCGCGACGGGAGGAGGAGGAGGAGGAGGAGGAGAAAGAGGAGGAGGAGAAAGAGGAGGAGGAGGAGGAGGAGGAAGAGGAGAAAGTGGAGGAGGAGGAGGAGGAGGAGGAGGAGCACAGGCCGGGTGGGGACTGTCGCCATGGCGCGCGGCCGCGCTGGCCGGGGCGGCGCTCCCCTGCGGCGCGCGCCCCGGGCGAGGGCGAGGGGCCCGGCGAGACGCCGCGAGGCACCCAGGGCCGCCCGCAGAGGGCATGCTCAGAGGCCTCCCGACTGGGGTCCGAACAGGTGGGGTCCGAGGATCTCGCTGCATCGCCGATGCATCGGCAAAGCATCGGCCATGCTCTGGCGACCTCGGCGGTGCATCCGCGACGTCGGCGCGGAGAGAACTGGGCCCCGCATCGAGCCGCATCGCCGATGCACCGGCAAGGCAGCGCGATCCTCCGACCCCATCTCCTCCCACCACATCTGGGAGGCCTCGAACAAGTCTAGTCGGCGACACGTAAGAGTGACCCCAGGCAAGAGTGCCCTCTGGTGCGCGGCCTTAGGGGGGCCCGTGAGGGCCTGGAGCAACCGCGCAAGCCGAGGCCGTCGGATTGCATCAACGATCGGTGGGGCGCGCTTCGATAGATCCCTAGCGCCAGCAGGCAATTGCGGACTTCCGCCAATTCGTTCCGGGCGCCCCAGAACACCCGCCCGAGGGCTCTGCGAAGCCAGACGTAATCGGGCGCCAACGCGGAATGTTCTGCACTGCCGGGCCGCATCGCGATGACGTCTGACCGGGTCCGGCGTCAAGGCCGAAACCAGGCCGAAACTTGGCCCCCCCGCGGCCGCAAATAACTTTCAATAGTAAAGAATTGAATTGTAAAGCGTGGAATGCAAAAAGTTATTCAAAGTTCGTCAAAATTATGCCAGGACGATTTGGGACTGGTCCCAAAACGGAGAGCACGTCGCCCGCTCGACTGGGTCCCCCCGCGCCAAACGAAGCACGCGGCAGAATACACCGCGCATGCGTTGCGATGACTTGCGAAAGACGCGCCCTGAATCAAGCGGGCTCTGATGCGATCGCAGACTGGTGCAGCGTGCGTCGACACGAGGCCGAGCGCACTCCTCAAGCAAATCTGTCCGACCCCATTCGGCCTAACACTAAAAGTCACTCTGGCCAAGGGTCACTCTTACGTGTAGCCGATCTAAGGTGAGGCGCGCCAAGGCACTGCGAGGACGCGGGAGAGAGCGCAGCTAGGAGCCGAATGCAGTGGCAGCGAGGTCGGCTTTCCTGTGCCTCTTGCCGCTGGCCGTCTAGCGCTGTGTGCGTGGGCGTTGGCGAAGGTGGCGG